GATGGCTAGCACTGGTGTCCACGCTCTTCTCTATCTGCACCCACACCCCTCTGTGTGTGTGTTTGAACCCAAGCTCAGCTGTCAATTGGATTTAACCTGCCTGCTTACCTTGCAACAAAAATCAGACCTGTAGATGTGCCCTCTCCCACGGGGTAGGAGCACTCCACAGCCAGCTCCATGGCAATGGGGTAGATGGCAAAACCAAAGAAACCAAAGAGCGAGCTGGTGATGGCCAGCATGACGGCCTGATGTCTGAACCGAGAAGTCTGCAGGCAGAAAAGCAACACCAAAGTCTCAGTGTCAGCAGTGCTGCACAGAAAGTCTCTGAAACCATAACCTGCAGGAAGTCCCAAGGGCTCACTGTTCTTACCAGTACCTTTCCTACCTGTTCCTGAAATCTCTCTTTTACCTCCAACCATCTATAGTCAACAAAAAGCTACATGATGGAGTATAAATATAATCTGTTGAATTTAAGCAAGGGGAGAGAGGATCAGCAGAGTTAGCTAAAAGCATTGGTGTGGTCATACTACTGTGACTTGACTTCCTGGTCAGTAACTTACCAGGAGTGTGCTCAGCATATCTCCAGCACCAAGTAAAACACACCTTCCTCCCAATGCAAGCTAACATTTCAGAAGTGGTGTTTGCATTGGGCTATGTATGAGAATTCACTGGGTTGCTGCAGCTCATTGATAAGGAAAACTATTCCTTACCATGTTAGACTCATGTTTGTAACATCGGGGTTTTACCACAAAACAAACAAAAAACCACCTGAAACATTCACAAACCCTGGAGATTATTTTAGTACCTAGGACAGCCTTGTCCCTAAGTCTGGAAAAAAGAGCATGGCCTTGTCCAGCCAATGCTAGTAAAGTCAAGGGCATAAATCCTGCAGCCACAGTGCTGGTACCTCCTTCCTTAACCATGTAATAAATTCCCACAGAGGAACACAAGGTGTCTGTCATGGCATGGCTGCAGCAGGCCTGGTCCAGCTAAACTGGTAAGGTCAAGGAAAATTCTGTGTGTCCGGTATTCGAGTTCAAAGCATCAAGACATCAAGCAGATTTGAATGGGTGGTTTTTGGTTTACTACTTTGAACTAGTAGTTCAGCTGTATGGGATGAAGGGGATGGAGGGAAGGGGAGGAGGGAAAGGTTTGCTTGTTGCTTCTGACACAGCCTCTTGCCTACTCTGTGCTTTACCTGAGCCCAGGCATGCTGACTTGTATTCAGAGCATGCCCCCAACAAATGCCAGAGTACTAAAGGGGGAAATGCAAGGTTTGCTTTAGGCATCTTGTCCTACACTGAGAAAGGCATTGCATTTGTCTGTCTCTTCAAACTGGAGCTAACATCACTGGGATCTTGGCCCAGGGGTAGGTGTGATCACGCTGTATTGAAAGTCTGGATTTTTCAACACACAGGAGAAAGGCACAGCACAAGCCTGCTGGGAAAGCAGAGACCTGCACCTGTCTGGGTCCTCTACAGTGCTAGGAGTCCTGTGCCTCATGCTCAGGTTCCTGCTGGGTGATCGCTCCCATTTGCAGTAACTACGCTTGAGCACAGTACTTGCACTCCAGCCCCATGGGTGTAAAGTCTCCAGGTTCTGCATTCCTCTCCTGGCTGGATTCAAGCGTCCCCCTTTTCTGCATCTCCCTTGTCTTGTCTCCTCGAGGAACTACTGCAGAACTAGGCACATAACTAGGTCCTTTCTGCTAATCTTACACTCCTGGCAGCCAGCACTGTTAAAGGCAGGTGTTGGGAAAACTATGACATTCTTGTTCATTTTTGTAAGAAAGATGGATATTTAGCAATTCCATTTCTTTTTGGAAAGAATGGTCTCAGGGCCAGTAAACAAACTTGGTGATCCAATGTAACAAAGTAAAATTATGCCAATTTATTTATATCCTGAAGCAGTCTGTCTCAGGCTCCACAGTGACTGTGAAATCCTCAGTAAAGGATTTTTCTTTAAAACATTCCTAGCCCAGAGAGATAATCCCAAAGCATAACACGTGGCTTAATAAATACGATGACATCAAATGACCTTGGCTTGAGTTGACGATTTATCGGATGGCAACAGAACTAAGCCCACAGGTATGGTGCAATGCAAGGGAGAACTCACCACTGCAAACACGATGCTGGCAAGTGCACTCAGACAGAAACAAATCTTGGTGGACTCTATGAACTTCCTTGTGCGGTCGACGTACAGGCCTAGCAGGAAAGCACCCAACAAACCACACACTGTGAACAGTGCACCATTCAGGCCAGCAAATTCCTGGATGGCAGAAGAACAAGTAACTGAGCAACTAGAGCAGTTAGGAAACAGGTTTTAATGTCACTGACCCATCTGCCTGCTACTAGTGGGTCACTTACTGAGGTAGGAAAAGCTTCCCTGCCCATTGCAATAGCTGAGGCCTCCACAGGGCTCTGAGGCAAATAACGGGGCCCAGGTGCTGCTACAACAGCAGGGTCACAGTACTCCCAAGGTCTCAATGGATGACAAGTCTCTGCACACCTGGCAAGGGAGACTGGGTGCAGAGCAGCAGCAGTTCCCTGGCATTAAATGCTCCAGCCCAGGCATGAGACCGTTCTTGGCTCCTCCAGGGGCAATCAGGTGCCTCGTCCACACTGGTGGTTACAGGTCCAACTGTCTTGGGATCTGCTACTGTTTATAATCATGCTCCTGGCCCTTTTCTTACCAGGGACCTGCACCAGTGGAATGTCTTCCACAAGGCTGGCAGCCCCAAAGCATGTTAGACGAGATACAGTATTGCCTGGCTGTAGCAAGGAGGTCTAATTAGAGAGGCAGTGAGCAGTAGTTAGGTTAGGGTACATGCTCTGTTGCCTGCAGTGACTATCTTTGCTTGTCCCACTCCTTCAGCTCCATAAGAATTCAAATGTAGACACCAATCCTGAAAGCAGGGAAGCTTCAATGAATTTGGGTAAACATTTTTGGGAGCCTCAGGGGCAGGCCGGAAAGAAAGGGTATCTGGAATAGCTTCTATGGGCTAAAGGGCCAAGGCAAGCCACTCACACACAGTCAAAAGCATCATGATGCACAGAAAGTGAGGCTGCAAAGTTTAAAAGATTTCCAGTTAAAAGCCAATGGAGTGTGCAAATATGACTGGGCTATGGAGCACTGAGCCAGGTATCAGACCTGGGAGTTGAGAGGGAGTGGACAGAGACCAGACATGTAGATGTGCATACGTAACAGCTGGAGAGGTGTTTTAAGAGGACCTCCATGGGGATACAGGCAGGAGAACTGAAGTGCTGCCTGCCTGAGGGGAAACACAGGAACTGGGGCAGCCCCTTGCTATTGCAGGGGAGAGAGCAGGAGAAACCAGCTGTGCACACACTGTGCTCAACTGTAAAAGCAGCACCTGGTCGATGTCATGGGAAGGACGGGGAAACAGCTGTCACACTACCCATGACTTCCTCTGTTGCCCTGGCTTCATGTAAGACTGTGCAAAGAGGAAAAGGCGCTTGCATCAGCCTGCCTTCAGCTTCACTCTAGGGCCTGCCTGGGCCCAATCCTACGTTGGGGAAGGTGTCAGAAGGTTGCATAGACAGCAGTGCTCTGTAGTGGCTTAGAAAAAACACAATACCCTTTTTTCCTAAAAAGTGTCTGAAGAGTAAAGGTTTTTCATTCGCAAATGGGAGTCTGGCCACGGGCAGTAATGAAAATGCAGATCATCCATTATACTGAGAGACTGACTTTGCTCTGGATTAATGTACTGCTTTATCGATATTAGATAATGTGAGCACACAAGATATGAGACAGTGCAGCATATTCAACTGTCTTCATTTTGCTCTGAGTCCCTTATCAGGGAAAATCATTTTGATTGTATCATAGATGATGTGGACAATGGGGAGGAAAGGAGGAATACTCACATTTGAATACCCCTTTTCACAAAGGATCTGTTCTAGCAGAGCTGAAAAGCAGGTGAACATCCCAATTCCTCCTCCAAAGCACACTGCCAGGATGATGTACGGCTTGTTTCTCAGGAGCTAGAGAAAGAAGTTAGCGTATCAATTAAACAAGTGGAGGGGGAAAAAAGGCCTGGCTGTGACAGTAGACTTGAGGGTCAGTGGCTCTGACCTCTCAGTTGGAAATATTGACAGGGCAACCCTGTGATCATTAGAGGAGTTTGGCTCTCTCCTGTCAGTTCAGCCGGAGGACAAGTTAAAATGGGAACCATGTAGGGAGCAAGGATCCCTTCAGTGCCCAAATTCTTCCTTCACTTTGCCATGTGCTATCCTACCTGTTACCACATCTGCTCAGAAGGCTCAGGTTGTGTGGTCCTCTTGGATGAGCCCAGGGGTGCCTGTTTGAGCTAGCCGAATGGCAGCCAGCCCGCAGCTGAGCAGTCACATAGCATCTCTTGCAGCTTTGCTGTGAGCAGCTTCCACTCCCTGAGGAAGGAAGGGATCCTGGTCTCCTTCAGGGGGCTTTCCATGGTGGGTTTGGTGGAGTGGAGTTCAGAGACCGCTTTGTCAGCAGATTCCCCAGCATAGCCCTGTCTGGCAGGGCTACATCCCTTACTCCAGCTCTGGTCTCTCTCTGTGCTACAGCACTTACCATTTTGAGCCCCGTGAGGAATGGCTGGGAGGTGGAGGTAGTGGCACTGGCTGAAGGAGGCGTTGGAGGAACCTTCTCGTGAATCCCCACAGTTGCTAGAGCACAGGCTGTTACTGCTGGGATGGCATAAACACCCAGCTACACAACACAAAGTAAAGACATGTTACCAGTCTTTCCAGCTCCACTGCCTCCAAATAAATAAATTAGCTGGACCCCAATCAGCCCAGCTGGCTGATTAAAGCAGTTTTCATTTACCATCAATGGGATGTGCTTTCCTTCAGGAACTAGTGCAGGCGACAGCACGTTTGCTATAAGAATACCCAAGGGATTGGCTGGAAGGAAATAAAACAGAGAGAGACTTTCTTCATGCAAGCAGTCAGAATCATGTGTCCACCCCTACTGACAGTCAGCACCAGAGCTGCAGTGGGCAGCAGAGCAATGAGTAAGGACAGAACAAGGCATATATAGGGAGAAACCAGGAGGGGAACATTTGGAGACGTTGACTGTATGGTCTTACTGTTGCCACATCTGTTCCTTCACCCCCATGAAGTCCATTCTATAAACCTCTTTTCCTACAACCCCTAAATCCTGTAAACTTGTTTTCATCTATAAATCACAGTGTCCTCACCTTCACAAGGCTGCCTCAGTAAATGCTACACTGAAGGGACAAAATGAAGATGGACGAATCCATGCCATCTGTCCTGATGCTATATAGCAGCAGTAACAAATAGAGGTGCTTTTCCTTCTTTACTCCCCCTTTGCCGGGCCTCAGCTCGGCTGGCATGACAGATGCTCCATTGCCTTAATTGTCTTAGTGGCTCTTAACCGGACTTAAACTAATGTGTCTGTGTCCTTCTTGTACTGAGGAGCCTAGAACTGGACACAGCTCTTCAGATATGGACGGGGACCTCTCTCAAGCCGCTGGCACTGCTCTTCCCAATGGTCACCAGGATGCCATTGGTCTTCTTTGCCAAAAGGGCATGAAAAGCAGGAAAGCCCTATGACAGCTCTCTAAAGTGACCCTAGGTCATTCTTGACACCTTTCAAGCCAATACATTTCATCAGTAAAGCCCAAGCTGACATATAAGTTGATCTCTGCTACCAACTACAAAAATCACATAGCAGAAGAGAATCTTGGACACTTTTCTGTACTGGAGTAGGGGGTTGCATTGTTATGGGGCTGGAGCTGAGCAGCATGTGAAGCAGCACTCCTGGGACGCAGCTTGGGAATGTCTAAAATTGCAGGAGATAATTTCTTAACTTTAAGGTGATGTTCTGCAAACAGTCAAACTAGTGAAGTTGATTTTCTACTAGTGTGCAGTGATGGGGTTAGAAAAGCCAAAGCCAACCTGGAATTGAGTCTGGTGGGAGTTGTGAAGGGCAACAAGAATGGCTTCTACAAGTACATTAGCAGCAAAAGGAAGGTTAGGCAAAATGTGGGCCTGCTGCTGGATGGGGCAGGAGACTTGGTGACAAAGGACATGGAAGAGGCCAAGGTATTCAATGCCTTCTTCACCTCAGCCTTTACTGGTAAGACCGGCTTTCAGCCCTGAGACCAGAGGTAAAGTCTGGAGCAAGGAAGATTTACCCTCAGTGGGGGAGAACTAGGTTAGTGAACGTTAAATAGACCAGACATACACAAGTCCGTGGGATTGACAGGATGCACCAACAAGTGCTGTGGGAGCAGGCTGTGTTAATTGCAAGGCCATTCTTGGTTATCTTTAAAAGGCCATGGCAATTCCAAGAGGCTCCTGAGGACTGGAAGAGAGCAAATGTCGCTCCCATCTTCAAGAAGGGCAAGAAGGAGAATGCAGGGAACTCCAGGCCTTTCAGTCTCACTTTGATCCCTGGGAAGGTCATGAAAAAACTAATCCTGGACATCATTTCCAGGCACATGAAGGACAACAGGAGAAGTCAGTGAAGGAGAAATGCTTAACCAACCTAATAGCTTTGTACAGTGTGATGACTGGCTGGGTGAATTAGGGGAGAGCAGTGGATTTTTTTTTAATCTCAGCTTTACTAAGGCTGTTGACACTGTCTCCCATAACATCCTCACAGACAAGCTGACGAAGTACTGACTAGATAAGTGGACAGTGAGATAAATTGAAAGTCAGCTGAACAGCTGGGCCAGAGGATTATCATCACTGGCATGGAGTCCAGCTGGAGGCCAGTCATTAATGGTGTACCCCATAAGCCAATACAGTTTAACCTTAATGAAAAAACTGGATGATAGGACAGAGTGCACCCACAGCCAGTTTGCAAATGATGTGACACTGTGAGGAGTGGCTGATAGAAGAGACAGCTACGCTGCCATTCAGAGGAACCTCAACAGGCTGGATAAATGGGTAGAGGGGAACCTTGTGATGTTCAACAAGAGGAAATGTAAAGTCCTGCACCTGGGGAGGAATAACCCCATCCACCAGTACGTACTGGGGCTTACCACCTGGAAAGCAGCTCTGCAGAGAAGGACCTGGTGTGGGGGGTAGGGGTCCTGGTGGACACTAACTGGACCATGAGCCAGCAACACAACCTCATGATAAAGAAGGCCATCAGCATCCTGGGCTGCATTAGGCAGCGTGTTGTCAGCGGAAGGTGACCCTTCCCCTCTGCTTGGCACTAGTGAGGCCACATCTGGAGTATTGTGTCCAGTTCTGGGCTCCCCAGTATGAGGGAGACATGGACTTAATGGTCCAGCAAAGGTCCAGAAAGATGTTTAAGGGATTGGAGCTTCTGTCATGTGAGGAGAGACTGAGAAAGCTGGGACTGATCAGCCTGAAGAAGCTGGTGGAAAGCAGTTTTGCAGAGATGGACGTGCAGTTCTGGTGGACCTCAAGCTGACCATGAGCCAGCAATGCACCCTTGCAGAAAGGTGTCCAACAGCATCCTGGGCTGCATTAGGAAGAGCATTGCCAGCAGGTGGAAAGTGGTGATCCTTCCCCTCTACTCAGCCCTGGTGAGAAACACCTGGAGTACTGAGTCCAGTGTTGGGCTCCTCAATACAAGAAAGATACACAGTTAATGGAGCAAGTCCAGTCAAGGACCAAAGACATTATTAAGGGCCCAGAGCATCTCTCATACATAAAGAGGCTGGGAAAGCTGGGACTGTTCAGCCTGGAGAAGAGAACCTTGATCAGAGGTTGTGAAGAAGAGGGAACCAGACTTTTCTTGGTGGTGCCCAGTGGCAGAATAAGAGGTAATGGGCACAAACTGTAACAAAGGAAACTCTGTCTGAATATAAACTTTTTTACTGTGACAGTGATTGAACACTGAAACAAGTTGCTCAGATAAGTTGCAACACCTCCATCCTTGGAGATAGTCAAAACCTGACTAGACACAACCCTGGGCAACTTGCTCTAGCCAGCCCTCCTTGAGCAGGGGGTTGGACAAGACGATCCCAAGAGATGCCTTCCAATGTTGTCTGTTCTACGATTCTGCTGAGGCATCATTAATAGTGCTATAGCACACAACAACCATAGCATTTCTGCTCTGTACTTGGGAACGTACTAGCTTATGACCCTGGTGAAATGTTACCTGCTTCTAACTACATGGACACAATTAAATACCAGTTTCTGAGGAGATGGATTAAAGCTTTTCTGCTGCGGTAAAATGCATCTGGTCATTATAGGGGACTGCCTGAAAACTACTGTCAGGTGTTTCCATGAACTATCGGCATGCTGAAGCAGTTCCAGAAGATATGGGTGAGGGGTGGAAATATGAGCATAAACTTGAAAAGACTAAGTGACACTATCTAAGTAATTACAGGGTTTCAGCCGCCTTCTCTTCCTGGGAGGGGAAATTATATGAGCCTAGGCTAAGAATGGAAAGGAGATCAGGGTCGTGTCTAGTCAGGTTTTGACTATCTCCAAGGATCACTGGAGTTAATCAACTGTACGTTATGGTCCAGGGGTCCTGGTGGATTAGCTTGCAGTACTCTGCAATGGGGCTGCGTGTTTGTGGACAGCAATGCTGATGCACTAAAGCTGAAGTGAAGGTCTATCTCAGCCCTGGGCAACAAGGTGAACCATCAGGTCCACCCTATTCTAGGGAGGGCAGTGCAAAAAGAATTTACTTGTTCTGACACCATAAATCGATTCTTGCTAAACAACAGTGCCCACGCTCTGGGTTTGCAGCAGCATTGGGAAAGCTGTATAGGGGTGCTCCTATGCCGCCCTTTTCCCCATGCCTACCCCTTCCCCACAACTCCAAGGCAGTGGGGAGGGAAGGCGGCTGTTGGCTGTTTTGAGGTGGGGCTCCCCCACACATGTAGGTACTGTGAGATTTCCCAGCTGGAGCCAGTGAGCCAGCCCAGTTTCTGGGGCACCTCTCAAGTCCTTGGAGAAAGGAGGAAGAGATTTCTGGCTGCTGGGGAAAATGTCACATGGAGGGAGGAAACAGGTCTCTCAAGTGCAGTATTCTGTCTCTAGCAGGGCCCAAAGGACCCAAGAGAGGAATGAGATTGGAGCAAGTGTATCTGGTGCATCCCCTCCAGTTTCCCAGCTTTCAGGCACTTTGCAAGGCAGATGTGGTTTCTGCGTGGGTAGTCCTGCTGCATTCATCCCCAACATGTTTGTGTGGCCAGCTGGGTATATTTTATCTGTGCGTGCATACATACCAATTGGGAACACATGCTCAGCCTTCCTACTGGACGAACTGGTGGACAAAATTGCTGCAGCAGCCTCACCTCTATCCGGTTACAGAATTTGGCAGCTGTGACCACTGGCATCACATGCAATTTGGACACCTTCCTAACAAGCTGCAGAATTAAGGCCACTACAGACTTTAGATTTAGTAACACTGAGGGCTGTCCCCAACCTCTATGATATTTAGGTAAAGATGATCACTTTGTCACGGCAGAGAGGAAGAAGGTTAGGAGCCTGGGTGGCTTCCTTTGAACTTTGCACCTGGATGTGGCTAAGGCCCACTTCTTGCTCTCCAGCATGGAAATGCCTGCCTGTCTTGCGGGGCCTTGAAGGCACTGGTTTATTGCACATGGCTCTGGGTGGAGCTGTATTTGCAGGGTCAAATGGCTGTAGTACAGAGGGTTTCCCCTGCCTGGTGCCTCTGAAAGGCAAACAAATGCCAGCAAGTTCTGGGAGGCAGCAATATTACTTTGCAGCTATCACTTACACATTGATGCAATCATATTTGCTGTCGCTCTCTGGTGGTCTGGGAACCATAGTGCTGCCAGCTTTGTCGGTGAAAAGATGATAAGGGGCTGTGCCAGTGCACAGAGGCATTGCCCAATAAACAGGTACCAGTAACTCTGGGAACCCAAGCTCAGGAACTTCAGGACACTGAACATCCGGATGATGCTACCCGTCATGTTCAGCCATGCGCTCAGGATCACCTGCAGCAAGCAGAAACAGCCAGGGGTTGTGTGATGAATCCTGAAGGGCAGAACTTAGTGCAATCAAGTAGCATGAGCAGGGTCTCAGATGCACTACAGGAGATACTGGATGTTAGTAATCACTGCATGGAAAGTTGCCTCCAGACCACCCCTACCCCTTTGGACCACTGCAAGATGCTCCTTATCCAACAGTGAGTGAGTTACCTGTCTCCTTAGGGAGCAAGATGGCTGTCCTGGCCCCACATGAGAACTACACCACAGTGCAGCTTATGCAAGACAGCAGACACTGTCATGGAATTTATGAGAAATCCAAAGTTCATTAATTACACTCTGTCTGCAAGTTTGCGTGATCAGCCATGCTTTGCTGTGACAATCCAAGGATCATGGCAATGAGTAATCTAGCATATGGATACTGCAAACGCTCTTCTATACCACTAGCATGCTAGTGTTTCAGTGCCACACTCCACAACACTCTTGCTTCTGGGAAGACTGTGTAGAGATCCCAAGCTGGCTTAGCATAGACCAAGCTCTGATCTGACAGGGGTCCCTTGCTTGCACCCTTCCCTGCTGCTCCTTAAACTGGCCCTGCAAACAAAATAGCTGTGCTAACACTTTTCCACAGCAAACCCTCCCCAATTACAGCAAGCTCTTCACAGAGTCAGCTCTCAGCAGCTGTCCCTGTCAGTTGGCTAAGACAACAAAAACTGAAGCAGGAAAAGGCAAGTAGGGATGCAACATCATTCTGACTTTTCCCACCGCTCCCCACCTCACAGGTGATGTGACAGCTATTACTGAACTAGGAGCTTGCAACATGCTCATCCTCTGCAGCATTTGGGAAGACTCCCGTTCACATTAGTGCTTTGTGCAGCTACTGCTGTCTCTAGGTGAAACGCCCTCAGGGAAACAGAACAGTTCAACTCACAGCACATCTGAGCCCCACGCTGTCGAGAACCCATGTTGCCACCAGACCAAATGGGATCGAGATGAGGAGGTACACTATTGAGAGCCAGTTGACCATCTCCAGGGAAACGTGAAAGTAGGCAGCTGTCTTATCAGCCACAGGAGCAAACGTCAGCCACAGCTGCAGAGTAGAGAGCAAAGATGGGTAACCATGAACACCTCCACCAGAACAGAACTCAGCATCCCCTCAAACTGTCTAACTGAGTTGCGAAGGGGCTCGCTATCTCAGTCTCTCCTTGAAATCCATCTCCATCCATCTCCTAGGATGTTAAGGTTGGTAATAAAAACTCAAACCTCCAGTGTCTGCAGTTACTCATGCTAGGACTATTTTACCACTGATACCATCACTATCTTGGCCCAGAGCCTGCCATCTGTTTCATTACCTCATCCCCAATCCCCTAGTCCTGCTGCTGGGAGCTGGTAGAAGCAGAGGTCAGTACCTTTTTCTGTCCCCAGGCTGAACCCGTTGGCCCCCGATTCACTTACTTACCTGACATAAACCACAAGCAATCCTTCTACGTTAGCATAAACAAAACAGAGGCTGCCACCTCCTCTCTGCAACTAAGAGCCTCTTAAACTCAGCCTGGTACTATGGTTGCATTGGTAACCCCTGGATGTGGCCTTGTAAGAACAAATTTGCTATGTGTCAGCCAAGAGAGACATTATTCCATGCTGCCCTACACACACCTAGGAATTTGCATTATTCAATATATCAGAACACATAACAAGGAAACACAATAGGTACTTTAATAAGTATCCATCTTTTCCTTCCAGTGTCATATCTGAAAATATTTCCCTAAACCTTGTTTTAGGCACTGGTTTCCTAAGGTTGCTGTCTGCATCTGGTTTCTTCTGGGAATGACAAGGCCTGCTTTGATCATCAAATCAGGTCCTGAGATCATGTCCACAAGAAAGAAATGAGGATACTACCCCAAATTTAAGGATGTTTCTGTGGATTCTTTGTGAAGATGCCCTCTCTGGTGCTTTTCGAAAAGATTGGCCTAACCTGCGAACAGGTTTCAATAATGTGGATGTAAGCTACTCCACTGTTAGAAGATGATCTTGCAGCTGCTGAATACTTCAGATGATAAAGTTTGCAGAAACGTGAACAAAAACTTCAGCTATAGCTTCCTACAAAAGAAGTCCAGCCACTGCCTCTTTCCAGGCACCCCTCTCTGCCATCACAAGCTTCCTCTTCACAGCCTGCATCCCGCACACAGCATCAGCTGTGGAGTTCATGCGTAACTGAAAAAGGGCTTGGGTAACCTCAGAGGAAGGCGTGTACCTACACTCTGCTACTTGTTATTTCCAGTGTTCTTATTTACTTCTCACATGCTAGAGACCATAAAAACTACCACATTAAATGGAAGTAGAAGGCGAGATGGGCTTTTCTTCTTTCTTAGTGTCACTGTGTGAGAATAGCCACATGCAAATCATTGTTTAGCTAACCTTTTCTCTTAGCAGGGATGCAATGAGTAAATGGCAGTAACAGAGAAGTTTTGAATGTATTATCAGTGTCCTAGCAAGGACTTCTAGCATCAGCCCTTTCCTCTTCTCTGAAAGGAGCTGACATGCCAAATCCCCTGCATCCAACATGAAGCTCACATCACCATGCTGGGCTCAGACACACCCATGTGGGTTCAGTTAAAGGTCTGACAGGGAGTGGATTTGGTGTTTACTCAGCTTCCACAACCAGGTGGATGAAGATGCTGGGTGCTGAAGGAAATTGTACTCTTGTTAGACAAGCTCACTGGGAGACTTGCAGCAGACTTCTAATAAGATGAGCTTTTTAAAAATTCCTTGAAATAATATATTATAGTGGAATGATGTTACCATCTTGTCTCAGGAAAAAATTTCACCCACCTTTGTTTTTCCAGAGCTGATCTCCATCAGATTGGGATGGGAATTTAAATGTTTAATGCTAATGTAACCATTTAAATGTTACAAGCATCACTAAGGCATGAGCATTAGTTTGATTATGGGGTGCTAAACTGCTGCTAAACAAAACCCAGCTGTGTATTTCTAGCAACAGCAATTCTCAGTTCCTCACTGTCTTCCAGATGGGGGTGGTGGTGGTGATGAAACACTGTACCAGGAAATAGTGTAATCAAAGAGATGGTACATTTTGTAAGCCAGCTTCAGGTACATTTTCACCCCTCCTGTTCCTCCACACAAGATGCTCACGCAGGCATGACATCATTAGGAGAATGATGCCACAAGCCAGAGCATAGCATTTTGTGTTCAGTGGCTGTATACGTCTAGGTAAGCTGGGATCAGGCACTCTGGCATGTTTCCATTAGACCTAGTAAAACCATTCCTTGCTGAAAACCAAGCATTTGGGCTGCCCTGTATTTCTATCCTGAGCAAGAGCTCCAGTTCTAGCATATGTGTGTGAGAGCACAGAAGGTGGGAAGTTGCAGCCTGTCCAAGCCCAAGTTTGTTCTTCAAAATAGGAAGTGGGTTTCTTTATGGGTCTGGAGAGATGAAGTATGTTTCTGTCTCCATTCAGACAGTGGTTGTTTACCCTGTGTTGCTCTAACAGAGAAATTAAGAACTGGGCAATGGAGCTCGAGGTGTAGCTGTGGTCAATGCAGCCACCAAATGCCCCTGCAACAAAGATAAGGCACTGTGGGGTTTTGCCAACATAGGAAGATGGCCATGCTAAGCAAGTGAGTATGCCACGTTCTGCTTCTGGTTTTCCCAGCTACAATGACTTCATCCGCAGTAGTTAGCAAGCTCTTCTGCCGGGCCCTTATCCTACATGTTGTTTCTGAAACTCTCCACTGCCAAGGTTGGTAATCACACAGGGACTGCTGTGATACACATCCCCTCAAGCAGAACAGGGTGAGGATGATGGCAGTTCTTTCCTGGTGAGGTCCAAGCCCTGTAACCTCTAAGGACGCAGAATAGATACTGAGAGAGGTTTCTCTCTCCTACACTCCCCAAGGGCCATTGTCTTAACTCAGCTTTGGCACACCAAAAACAATATCAAAGCTCTCCAGTGTAGATCACAGTGACAGATGCAGGAGGAGAGATCATGTGTGGGGTTATAGGATGCCAGCCCCAAAAGCTGGTTGCTCCTGGGACAGATAAAGGAAGGAGAAACAGGCAGACACCTCTGCCCTTGCAGGGTTGTCTACACACTTGTTCAGTCCCTGCACAAGCCTCACTTTGTGGAAATATGCCCTTGTAGTCCGGTCAAGCTGCACTCAGCTCCATTGCTTATGTAGCCACACAGGCCTAGAGCCTCAGTATGAGGTAAAGAAGGCATCAAGGGGAGTCTGTGTTATGCACTGCACTACTATGTCCATGTCCACATACTCTCCTCTGAAGGCAGCTCAATGGAAGTCACAACAGCAGCACTGAGACGACTCAATGTCTTTTCCTGACTTGCAGTAGTGACAAGCAATTTCCATGCACCCACTATGGCTTATGTCACTTTTAAGCCCTATCAGGGCTACAATTAACCAAAACCTTTTAGCAAACTTTGACAAAATTCCCAGCTTGGCACCCTGCAG